AAATAGTCGTTCAAAGGTTTTCTCTCCTTTATCAAACAGGAATCTTTGTTATAAGGATCATATCCAAGCCCATCCTTAGGATAAGCATTTCTTTACTTACCAAGCAAAAGATTTAAGTTTTCTCTTCCTTTCGTAAACTTAGCTAAAGTCTCAATTTGATCCTCAATTATGACTTTCAAGGATCTATTTTCAGAGACTAAATCAATAGATGCTAATTCTTTAGCTAACTCACATTCTTTTTCCTTTTTTAAAGCCTCATTTTCAAGAAGAGATTTTTCAAGTTTTTGAACAATAATATATTTTTCTCTTTTAAGACTAGCACATTTTTGAACCATTTTGCCTAATTCGTCATACAATTCTTTAAAAGCATCAAGCAAGTAATTGTGAATTTCAACTAGTTCATCATAAGTAGTTTCTTAGTTAAATGAGTCGTGATTAGAGTTTACCTCATCTTCATCGGCCATGAGGCAAAGGTTGACTAATTCATTGAGTTCATCATCGCTTCCGGATCCATTTGAATCGTTATCCTCCCATGTAGCACGCATGGCTTATGCTTTCTTTTTTCGTTCCTTTTCATTTTTGTAAGCATAGCAATCCAATTTGAAGTGCCCCAGTTTTCTGTAATGAAAACAAGTGGATGCTTCTCTTTTTCCTTGCTCATTGGTGGAACTATTTCTTTTGAGATTGATGTTATGAGGACTTGCATTTTTATCATTTTCCGGACATGTTGGCATTCATGCATTTAATTTTATTATCAAAAATTTTGATTTATTTTGCAAATGTGTTTAATTTTAATTAAATGTCATTTGTTTATTTCATAAAGGGCATTATGGACTTTTTGTTTTACAAATGGCATATATGGTATTTAATTATTTTATAAAGGGAAAAGTTAACTTTTATTAGCCAAATGGCATAATTGACATTTAGAAATAATAGGACCTTTTGGTCATTTTGCTTGGTCTTGCATTTGACTAATTGTGAGCTTGACACATGGCGGTTCACCTGGCCACATATTGTGTGTGTGTGTGTGGTGACTTGTGTATTGCATTGAGGGAGATAGACATAAAAACAATTCAGCAAAAACTAATTTCGCGCATTTGGCTACTTCTTTAGAGTCACTTTTATATTGCTCCATTTGAGGTCTTTGTGTTACGAATTTGAGAGGGGTGTGTGAATGAAAAAGGTTCCTAAGGGAGAGAGAGCTTCCTTGTGGTTAAGAGTTGTGCACAGTTTATTAATTCTGGGCTGTCAAAAAGGGTGTTGAAAGAAGAGGTGCGGGTGTATTTTATAAAGGAAAGTGTTCTTCATAGTCTAGTTGCTGATTTTGATCCATTTTTTGGTGTGGTTTCAAATTGTTTAGCAAGTGTTCAAGCTTCTTTGAGGTAGGATTACTTAACTCTCACACCCTTTATCTTTAAGGAATCAATTCCATGTGTTTTGTGCTTAAAACATAGGCTGCTACTTGTTTTTCACAATTCTGGAAGCACAGCAACCTGAACTTCAAAGGATCATAACGTCCTTGTTTTTAAGTCCAAATTGAGCGATTTTTGAGTCTAAATTGACTAGCTCGAAACAAGATTTCTAACGATACCAATTTCAGCCTTAGATTCCATCTATGGAAAAAGTTATGACCTTGTAAACATAGGCTGCTGCTTGAAAATTAGAATATTGGTTGTTATGATATGGGAAGTTTTGTACTTGATTTTCTAAATGTTATTAAGCACTGTATATGTTGTTATGTGGTAAATGTGAGTTAGAAGGCATGCTTCTTATATTATACAACCATGGATTGCTTAGCCTGTTAAAGTTACCATGCTTGGGTGTGGATTAAAATGCAATACCATGATATTGTATATGAGTTGAGATTGCTATATTTATTTCATTATCTGTATATCATTTTATATAAATGTACATGCATCTCACATGAGCATAAGGGTGATGTTGGAATGAAAAGGAAAGTGTAAATGTTTCATTAAATGGTTTTGAAAACCGGATAACAGGGAGGTGCCTTGTATCCGTGGGTTTAGAAAAGAAAAAGGAATTGAATCATTGATTTCAAAAACCGGATAAGGAGTTACCATATTTGTGCAGTTAATGGGAATCTAGAGGAGATGTAGGGAGTGGCTCTACACGTAGTTGTGTCACTAGAGCCCCAAAATGATCACAAGGAGTGGCCTTGTATCAGGGATAGATGACCAACTCTCTTCTCGTGGTACTGGGGAGCAGCCCTGGGCGGATTACATTAACTTTTTGTGATGGAAATGGGATTTTGGGAAGTAAGAGGTGTCAGTGACATTAGCATTGGCATTGGCATTACATGACACTTCATTTTATTATCTCATATGATATATTGCTTTCCCCTGAGCTTGTATGATCCCTTTATCTTTTATCCGTTCTTTGTTTGGAATTACGGAGGTACTAAGGAGTGCACTTTAAGTAATTCCTGCTGAGCTGTGGTTGCTCATTCCTATTTTATATATATCTTTTCAGGTCATGGCACGGATGGTATAGAGGGTGTTCCTCCTCAGCTGTAGACAGAGTCAGGGCTGGTATTGTTGTATTTTATCCTGTATAATAGACTATGTTTTGTATTATATTTTTTTAGAGTATTTCTGGCATGTAATAAATGTTATTTCAAACCTTAAAACTTTAATGTTGTATTTGCATCTTATCTATTTATTTTCAGTCTTGTTTTTGTGAACGGAAATAGATAGGTGGATGTGTGGTTAAGACAGGTTACAGGGATATTCATTGATTTTGAGACTGTGATTAATTGTGTGTTGTGTTCACAATCCAGACCACGGTCTAGGGGCACGACAGTTATGGTATCAGAGCATAGTTCCTATAACCTAAGGACGATGGGTAGAGGTCTATCTACAGCTGTGTGTAGGGGTTTGCAGTGTCTTATGTGTTCACATGTTTATCTGTTATTTGCCTTGTAAGCGTACTTATGTGTATATGTGATTACGTGTTTATCTGATTATGATAAGGCATGCTATGTATTTAAAGGCTTTTATTCCTATGAGTCAGTTTGGGGCTGTGGATAGTCACATTGTTATTGACTTGCATGACTTGCATTTCATTGTAGTATGCCACCTCGTAAAAAGGCCAGGGCACTGTGAGACCAAGAGACTGGGCCTACAGTTGGACAGTCTAGGGAGAGTTCTGCATCTCACCCTGTGGGACATGGGGGTTTGCCACCACCAGTGATGTCTGCAGGGGAAGATGAGATAAAAAGACATCTCAAACTTATCTCCACATTTATCAGACTCATGCCTGCATTGTTTGAGGGTGGGACTGATTCGTTGTTGGCGGATGATTGGTTTGATCAGGTGGAAAAGCATATTGATGCTCTGGCAGTTGAAAATAATTCTGTAAAGATTCTGTTAGCTACCTACAACTTTACTAGGGATGCCAAATTATGGTGGAAGTCAGTGTCTAATAGAATGGACGTGAAGACATTGTCGTGGGATGCTTACAAAGAGTTATTTTATAATAAGTTCTTTCCGGCGACTAAAAGATAGGAGCTACATAAGGAATTTATCTCTCTATTTCAGAATAGTTCTATGACAGTGATAGATTACGAGAATAGATTCACTTCTCTTTCTCGTTTTGCTTCAGAAATTGTAGGTAAGGAATCAGATAAAGTCCACAAGTTTGTAAAGGGACTCCATTATCGGATTAAGACTTTTGTGGTAGTACAGTGCCTACAGACTTATACTGAGGCTGTAGAAAGGGCATTGATTGTTGAAGCTGAGCTGAATGATAAAAATCAGACTCGGGAGCAGTGCAAGCAAAGACGAGCCAGTGGTTCAGGGGCTGAGGGTCAATTTAGCAAGAGGTAGAGGGGGAGTTCATCTAAGTCTGGAGGACAGCAGTCAAGCCGACCTACTCCTTTGACTTCTGTACCAACAGGAGTAGGTAAGAGTGAGGTCATATGTTTCGGATGTCAGCAGCGTAGCCATTATGTGTCTAATTATCCGTAGTCTTTTTCTACGGGAGCTTGCTTTAGATGTGGACAGCAGAGCCATAGGGTTAGGGATTGTCCGAGGAGGACTGGTGGCTTAGGCAGAGGTTCTGGTAGTGGTCGTGGTACACAACAGAGACCATCTCAGTCTGCTACAGTACAGTCTGGGTTTAAACCACCATAGCCAGCTGCATCTTCACAGGGATCAAGACCAGCTGGGAGGGGTACTTCTACAGGGACTGGTCAATAGTTCGGGGTTCAGACTGGTGGTTCACAGGATCAGATATCCCAGGGCCAAGTGTATGCACTTCTTGAGACATCTTCGGGACCGTCAGTAGTGAGGGGTATGTTTCCAATCTTTGGATCTTGGGCTCGGATTTTGTTTGATTCTGGTGCATCTCATTCATTCATTTCATGCACATTTGCACTTGCATCGGTATTGGAGGTTGGTTTTCTGGACCGAGTATTATGTATTGATACGCCAGTCAGTGGTTCATTGGTTATGAGCAGAGTGGTGCGGGATTGCGCCATTGTGATTGCAGGGTAGACTTTGGTTTTTGATCTTATCCTTCTTAAGATGACAGGGTTTGACGTCATTCTTGGGATGGATTGGTTATCATCATTTCGTGCGACGATTGATTGCTTCGGTGGTAGAGTTTTAGTGTGTACGCCGGAGGGAGATTGTTTTGTGTTTGTGGGAGATCGGGGTGATTCCCTAGTTTCAGCTTGTTATGGTGTTCGTGGTCGGGACCATTGTGCTTTCTTCTTAGCTAACATTTTAGCTGAAGAAGATGGTGATGTGGAGACAGTTTATCCGTCAGTTGTTTGTGACTTCTTGGATGTGTTTCCGGATGACTTACCGGATTTACATCCTAAAAGAGAGGTTGAGTTTGTGATTGACTTGATTCCTGGTACTACACCGATTTTTATGGCTCCGTATCGTGTGGCACCAGCAGAGCTGGAGGAATTAAAGAAGCTGTTGGATGATTTGAGGCTGAAGGGTTTTATTCAGCTTAGTGTTTCACCATAGGGCATGCCAGTGTTGTTTGCAAAGAAAAAGGATGGTTCTATGAGGTTGTGCATTGATTATCAAAAATTGAATCATGCAACTATTAAGAATAAGTATCATTTATTGCGGATTGATGATTTGTTTGATCAGTTGAGGGGAGTTATTTGCTTTTCCAAGATTGATCTGAGATCTGGTTACTACCAGTTACGAGTTCAGGACGAGGATATTCCGAAGATAGCTTTTCGTACGTGGTATGGTCATTATGAGTTCCTTGTGATGCCTTTTGGTTTGACGAATGTGCCAGCAGCATTCATAGATTTGATGCACCGTGTCTTTGACAGATATCTGGACCAATTTCTGGTAGTGTTTATAGATGACATTTTGGTGTATTCACGATCTCGAGAGGATCACGAGATCCATCTGAGATAGTGTTACAGATGCTAAGAGAGTATGATGACCTTGTGGGCGGGTGTGTCATGGGCGGGTGTGAGAGACACTTTCAGGCTACCACACTGGCGAGCTACGGGTGTACAGTCCCACATCACCTGGGTAGAGGAAAGGTGAAGTGCTTATATGTGAGTGTGTCATCTCTAATTGGTATAAGGCCTTTTGGGATGAAGCTCAAGAGCAAAACCGTGCGGGCTCAGGCCCAAAGCGGACAATATCATACCATATGGTGGAGTGGGTCGTTACAGAGAGCACCATTTGTATGCCAAGTATTCAAAATGTGAATTTTGGCTCCAAGAGGTGAAGTTTTTGGGACATGTTGTTTCAGGCAGTGGGGTTTCAGTTGATCCTTCAAAGATATAAGCAGTTCTAGATTGGGAATGTCCCAAGAATGTGTACGAGATTTAGAGTTTTCTTGGCTTAACGGGTTATTACCGCAGGTTTGTGAGGAACTTTTCTCGCTTAGCTGCTCGGATGACCCGAAAGGGGATTAGATTTGATTGGACTAAAGCTTGTGAGTCGTCTTTTCTGGAGTTAAAGACTAGATTGACTACAGCTCCAGTATTGGTGATACCTAAGCGTGGCTTGGGTTATGTTGTCTTTTGTGATGCTTCTCGGGATGGTTTGGGCTGTGTGTTGATGCAGGGTGGTAAGGTAGTGGCTTATGGATCTAAAAAGTTAAAGATTCATGAGCTTAACTATCCCACTCATGACTTGGAGTTAGCAGCAGTTGTTTTTGCTTTGAAAAGCTGGAGGCATTATTTGTATGGTGAGAGATTCGAGGTGTTCTCAGATCACAAAAGTCTCAAGTACCTTTTTTCTCAAAAGGACTTGAATATTAGATAGAAGCGATGGGTTGAGCATTTGAAAGATTATGATTTTGATTTACAGTATCATCTGGGTAAGGCGAATGTGGTAGCAGATGCCTTAAGCCAGAAATCTCATGGAGTTGTGGCTGGGTTAGCCATTCGAAAATGGAAGATGTTGGAGGATCTAACAGAGATGGGATTACAGTGTTGTGATGATAATATTAGTTATGAGACAGTTTTTCTGTTTAGTCTTGTGGTTCAACCTACTCTTGTTACACGGGTGATTGAGGCACAGAGACAGGACTCAAATTTAGCTGCCATTCATCAGTTGATTTTAGGTGGGGACACAGTAAAGGACTGGACCTTACACACGGATGGTGGCTTACAGTTCAGAGGTTTACTTGTGGTTCCTACGGTTTGTCGGGAGGATGTGTTACGGGAGTTTCACACTTCTCGTTTTACTGTGCATCCAGTTGGTACTAAAATGTATCATAATTTGAAATGCCAGTATTGGTGGAATGGGATGAAGGCAGATGTAGCTCAGTTTGTTGCAACCATTGCCAGTAGCACAGTGGAAATGGGAATGTATTGCTATGGATTTTGTGATAGGACTTCCGAGGTCACAGAGGGATAATGAGTCTATTTGGGTCATTATTGATAGATTGACTAAGACCGCTCACTTTTTGCCTGTTAAGGCGATAGAGTCTACTGAGGCACTTGGCATATTGTATGTCAGAGAGATTGTCAGATTTCATGGGGTTCCATTGTCCATTGTTTCGGACAGGGATGCCAAGTTCACATAGAAAATCTAGGAAGGGCTTCATACAGCATTTGGTTCACCGTTGCATTTCAGTATGGCATTCCATCCGCAGACGAATGGCCAGTCGGAGCGTACTATCCAGATCTTGGAAGATATGCTTCGGGCCTATGTACTTGATTTTGGTGGTAGTTAGGAGGATCATTTACCTCTTATTGAGTTTGCCTACAACAATTGCTATCAGTCGAGCATTGAGATGGCTCCTTTTGAGGCATTGTATGGTAGGCCTTGTCGTTCTCCTGTTTGTTGGACTGAGGTGAGTGAGATAGCCGCCTTAGGGCCAGACATTGTCTTGGAAACCACTGAAAAGATTAAGTTGATTCGACAGCGGTTGTTGACTACTCAGAGCCGACAAAAAAGTTACGCAGATAGACAGAGACGACCATTATCCTTTGAAGTGGGAGACCACGTGTTTCTCAAGGTTTCTCCACGAAAAGGATTGCTACAATTTGGAAAGAGTGACAAGTTATCACCTCGTTTCATTGGGCCATTTGAGATTTTGGACCGAGTGGGCGAGGTTGCTTACAGATTGGCATTGCCACCACAGATGGACAAGGTCCATAATGTGTTTCATGTTTCGATATTGCAGAAGTATGAGCCGGATCCATCACATGTATTGAGTTGGGTTGATGTTGACATTGATGAGGATGTTTCTTACGAGGAGGGACCCGTTCAGATTCTTGACACTCGGGACAAAGTGTTAAGGGGTAAAACGGTGACTCTCGTGAAGGTTTTATGGCGACATCACAGTGTTGAGGAGGCTACGTGGGAACGGGAACAGGATGTTCATTCTGCGTATCCGAGTTTGTTTTCTTCCTCAGGTATGACTTGATTTCGGGGACGAAATCCTTGTATGTTGGGAAGAATGTGAGGACTTGTATTTTTATCATTTTCCGAACATGTTGGCATTCATGCATTTTATTTATTGTCGAAAATTTTGATTTATTTTGCAAATGTGTTTAATTTTAAATAAATATCATTTGTTTATTTCATAAAGGGCATTATTGGCTTTTTGTTTTACAAATGGCATATATGGTATTTAATTATTTTATAAAGGGCAAAGTTGACTTTTATTAGGCAAATGACATAATTGACATTTAGAAATAATGGGAGGACTTTTTGGTCATTTTGCTTGGTCTTGCATTTGACTAATTATGAGCTTAACACATGGGGGTTCACATGGCCAAATTTTGTGTGAGTGTTTGTGGTGACTTGTGTATTGCATTGAGGGAGATAGACATAAAAACAATTCAGCAAAAACCAATTTTGTACATTTGGCTTCTTCTTTATAGTCACTTTTATATTGCCTCATTTGAGGTCTTTGTGTTAGGAATATGAGAGGGGTGTGTGAATGAAATAGGTTCCTAAGGGAGAGAGAGCTTCCTTTTGGTTAAGAGTTGTCCACAGTTTATTAATTCTGGGCTGTCAAAAAGGGTGTTGAAAGAAGAGGTGCGGCTGTATTTTATAAAGGAAAGTGTTCTTCACCTTCTAGTTGCTGATTTTGATCCATTTTTTGGTGTGGTTTTGAATTGTTTAGCAATTGTTCAAGCTTCTTTGAGGTAGGATTACTCAACTCTCACACCCTTTACCTTTAAGGAATCAATTCTATGTGTTTTGTGCTTAAAACATAGGCTACTACTTGTTTTTCGTAATTCTGGAATCACAGCAACCTGAACTTCAAAGGATCATAACATCCTTGTTTTAAGTGCAAATTGAGCAATTTTTAAGTCTAAATTGACTATCTCAAAACAAGCTTTCTAACGATACTAATTTCAGCCTTAGATTCCATCTGTGGAAAAAGTTATGACCTTGTAAAACATAGGCTGCTACTTAAAAATTAGAAAATTGGTTGTTATGATATGGGAAGTTTTGTACTTGATTTTTTAAATGTTATTAAGCACTGTATATGTTGTTATGTGGTAAATGTGAGTTAGAAGGCATGCTTCTTATGTTATACAACCATGGATTACTTAGCCTGTTAAATTTACCATGCTTGGGTGTGGATTAAAATGCAATACCATGATATTGTATATGAGTTGAGATTTCCATATTTATTTCATTATCTATATATCATGTTATATAAATGTACATACATCTCACATAAGCATGGGGGTGATATTGGAATCAAAAGGAAAGTGCAAATGTTTCATTAAATGGTTTTGAAAACCAAATAACAAGGAGGTGCCTTGTATCCGTGGGTTTAGAAAAGAAAAAGGAATTGAATCAATGATTTCAAAAACCGGATAAGGAGTTGCCTTGTCTGTGAAGTTAATGGGAATCTAGAGGAGACGTAGGGAGTGGCTCTATGCGTAGTTATGTCACTAGAGCCCCAAAATGATCACAAGGAGTGGCCTTGTATCAGAGATAGATGACCAACTGTCTTCTCATGGTACTAGGGAGCAGCCTTGGGCGGATTACATTAACTTTTTGTGATGGAAATGGGATTTTGGGAAGTGAGAGGTGTCAGTGACATTAGCATTGGCATTGGCATTACATGACACTTCATTTTATAATCTCATATGATATATTGCTTTCCCCTGAGCTTGTATGATCCCTTTATCTTTTATCCATTCTTTGTTTGGATTCACGGAGGTATTAAAGAGTGCACTTTAAGTAATTCCTGCTGAGCTGTGGTTTCTCATTCCTATTTTATACATATCTTTTCAGGTCATGGCACGGATGGTGTGGAGGGTGTTCCTCCTCAGCTGTAGACAGAGTCGGGGCTGGTGTTGTTGTGTTTTATCCTATATAATAGACTATGTTTTGTATTATATTTTTTTAGAGTATTTCTGGCATGTAATAAATGTTATTTTGGACCTTAAAACTTTAATGTTGTATTTGCATCTTATCTATTTATTTTTAGTCTTGTTTTTGTGAAGGGAAATAGATAGGTGGATGTGTGGTTGAGACAGGTTACAGGGATATTCATTGATTTTGAGACTGTGATTAATTATGTGTTGTGTTCACAATCTGGACCACGGTCTAAGGGCGAGACAATTGCTCTTTTGGTACTTTTTCATTTGGAGAACTCTTCTCACGGTTTTGGTGATGAGTGCAATTTCTTTTTTTTCTTCATTGTCAAGACCTTTCTTAATTTCAACTTCTTTGGTAGTTGCTTGAAGAGCTAGATCTTTCTTGTGAGATTCTTTGTTGCCTTCTCCATCTTTCATTTCTAGCTCGTATGCCATCAAGGAACCAATGAGCTTATCAATAGAAAGTGTGTTGTGATTTTTGGCTTCCAAGAGCCTTTTAGGGATTGACAATGTTAATAAAGCAAAAATACATTTCACTAATTGTTTCATTGTTATTCATGGTAAACAACTCATATATATAGACAAGCATATTCATTTTAGATTCCTTAACATGACTACTACCAACATATGTAATTTCAAGCTTATCTGAAATTTCTTTGGCCATTTCACAATCCGAAACTCTGTTGAATTCCTCTTTGCTTAGAGCATAATAGAGATTTATGTTAGCCATGACATTACATTGAATAAGCCTATGCTCATTTTGAGTCCACTCATCATTGGTTTTTGGAACACTTTAACCATCAACAATTTTGGTTGGAATATGATCACCTTGTTTGGTGGCTTTCCAAGCATCGATCTCAAGACCTCTTAAAAAAGCTCTCATTTTGATTTTCCAATAGTTATAATCATCTCCATTAAACCAAGGAGGTCTATTGTTGGATTGACCTTCTTGATGAAAATTGGCCATGAACGATCCTATTCCTCCTTCATTGCATATGCATGACCCTTTTGTTGAAAAAGACTTGAGAAATGATTTGAAAAATTCTTGTGTGGACAATGCATTGAAAAAATATTTTGAAAATGTTTTTTAGCCAAATCTTTTGAAAAACAATAAGGCAAAGTGAATGAGATCATTGAAATGTTTAGGCAAGTGAAGATTAATCTTCCCCTCTTGGATGCAATTAGACAAATTCTGATGTACGCCAAATTCTTGAAAGATCTTTGCACACAAAAGAGGAAGAACAAGAGCCAAGCACCAAATAAAGTTGTTTTGACCGAGCAAATAAGCTCCATTATGCAACACAACACTTTCCCAAAATTCAAAGACCCTTGCTCACCTACTACTTCTTGCATCATTGGTGACATTGTTATTAACTGGGCTCTTCTTAATTTAGGAGCAAGTGTGAACCTTCTTCCATACTCGGTGTATGTTCAATTGGGCTTAGGAGATTTAAAACCGATGTTGGTAGTTTTACAACTAGCCGACCGATCCATCAAAAAGCCCCGAGGTTTAATTGAGGATGTGTTGATCAAAATTAATAAATTCTTCTTCCTGGTCGATTTTGTAGTCACAGACACAGAACCGATCGCAAATCCCAAGAGCCAAATTCCCGTTATCCTTAGTCGTCCTTTCTTGGCAACCGCTAAAGCCAACATAAACTATAGAACAAGGATAATGAAAATTTCACTTGGGCATATGATGGCGAAGTTGAATATATTCAATCCAACCCCCAATTCTTTGGACAAACATGTAGAGGTTTGTGTTATTAAAAAAAGCATTGAAAATGAATGTGCAAAATTTGAGTCTTTACTTAATGTTGAACATTCCAATGGTTTATTTTCTAAAAAGACTTCAAGGAAAAATGTTTTCAACCAAGTGTTGAAAGGGCATGGAGGCCTAAGAATTGCTTTGATTAAGGACCGTCAATTCCTTTTGAATCAAACCCAATGAGTTCTCTAGGGAACAATTTGTTGGGTAGGGTTCAAAGAGTTTTTCACCCTACTAAGGAGGGGATGCACAACAAGATTTTTGATCCGGGCTAAAATAGCCCAACATCTTGCTAAAGACGTTAAACACTAGTGATTCATAGGGTTTTCAACCCTATTCCTCCCTCATTTCTATTTTATTTTACTTTCATTTCTTGCGTCGTCTAGATATATTATGGGATCATACACATTGTTTGAGACTTTGAGAGGGAATGCATGTGCTTTCATCTTCAAATTAGGCATTTAGTGCATGTTCGATCGATCTGAGAAGAAATTCGGTCGATCGAACAATCATCCCTGCATATTCCCATCTCTCTGTTCCATCGTGCGAAAATCTATGCATATTTCATCACTTTGTGTATCGTGCGAACTTTCTCTCAGATCGATCTAAGTATTCCCCGATCGATCCAGTTTTCCCTTGGATCGATCTCCATTCCATACTTAGAAAAATTTTTGAAACTCTAAAAAATCTTCTCTCTGTGTATCGTCCCAAGATCTCTGCAGGTTTCCACCTGTTGGATTAATCGAGTTTTGATCGATCTGTGCACTTCCGTTGACTTAGACTTTTTTTTTTAATTATAAATTTCAAAATTCAAATTTAAAATATATATATATATATATATATATATATATATATATATATATATATATATATTCCAAAAATCCAAAAAGATTTTTAATTTTCAAAAAATTTTAAAATTTTAAAAATATTTTGTTGTTTTGTGGGTTCGATCGATCTAAGTACCTTCAAGATCGATCGGTGTTTGATTGATCTGATCACTAGTGTGATCGATCTGACATGTCGGGAGCTATTTTTAAAATATGACCCAATGGTCACTTGGATCGATTTTCACATCTATCCAATACCCTTCCTCTCTCCCGGCGATCTCCTGAAGCTCCAAAACTCCATCCCCAATCTCGATCTTTTCTTTCTCTCTCTTGGTTATCTCCACTTCTCTCCTTGACTTTGGGTAAGTTGTCCTTTTCCATTTTTATTTCACTTTCGTGTTTTCTGTTACACACTAATTGATTCTAGAGTGGGGGTGAATAGAGTTAATGACCATTTTTTGAATTTACAAATTTAATTTCTAATCAACAAATGTATAATATGTATTTAATGCAAATAAATAATCCAAAGCATAAATGTAAGAGAGATAGGGATACGAGATTGCAAACAATGACTCGGAGATTTTAGCGAGGTTCGGAAACTCCTACTCGTCGGCTCAAGATCCTTCTTGAGACTTCCCAATCCACTAAAGCTTCTCCTTAAGGGTAGAGAGCAAACCTTCACATGAAGCAAGCCCTTGCTTCTTTTTCTTACTAGGAGAACACCCTTCCCCTAGGCTTCTTTGGGTTACACCAACCCTTACAAGATTGTAGAAAAGTTTGAAGTTCGAATACAAGATTAAATCTCTCTCAAGATAGATATACAAATGTAGGCTCACAAGACTAGAGTAATAAATGAATAAGAATGAAGCTCAAGTCTAATATGGTTGAATGAGTAAAATGCTAAAATAAATGCTCTTAAATGGTGTTTCAAATTTATCTCTCAATCGCGCCCTTACCTTCAACAATGCTTGGCCTTATATAGAGAAAGGAGGAAGATGAAGTGCATTAATTGCTCAAATATGACTGTTGGAGTTGGTTGTGGAGCATTTAATGAGTAAATAACCATTGGAGCAATAAATACTAGTGTTTCAGATCTGTCTCAGCTCATTTAAAGTACTCGAGATAATGAGATTGGATCTCATCTAACCAGTTACAGGATTCTTCCTAACCAATTACATTAGCTAGGGGACTCTTTCAGTTTAAGACCAACTACTCAAGCACAGAAGACTTCCTAACCGGTTACATCATTGGCCAAGAGAAGTGATATCCTGTTTAAGCGATGATAACCGGTTACATAAGTTTTCCTAACTGGTCACATCATTGGCCAAGAAAAGTGTTATTTTGTTCAAGTGAAGATAACCGGTTACATAGCTTCTTCTAACCGGTTACTTCATTAGCCAAGAAAATTGTATTTTGTTTGAGTGTAGGTAATCGGTTATTTGGGTTCTCTTAACCGGTTATGAAGGGTCATAGAAGGATGCATCATTCTGTGTGTGTTAATCTAATTGGTTAGAACTAACTTTCTAACCGGTTACAAGATGCGGTTAATAAGATCAAGCTTTCTGCTATGTTCATCTAATCGGTTAGATGATGTTTCCTAACCGATTACAAGATGGATTTGATCAGGTTATGCTTTCTGTTTCACTCATCTACTTGGTTAGAAGTTATTTTCTAACCGGTTACCAGATGTAAGGAAATTTTGATTTTTCTTTTAAGTGCAAGATATTGAAAAATGTATTTGAAGTAGATGCATAAACCTATAGATATGAGCTTCAAATTAATTCATAAATTACTTTGACAAAGATCCTAATCACTCACCAATCTATCTACCCATTATTCTTCAAGACAATCATGATTGCATTATGCTTGAGGTAAACTTGATTTTTCTTGAAATGGTATCTCTGTCTTGGTTGCTTGGTTGTAATTGTTCGACATATTTTATCCCTTTACTTTGCAAGCTCAATGTAAAAAATAGTCTGAGAACACTTCTTAATGCTTTGTAATCATCAAAATCATTAGACGATCTTTGAATGACATTTAGGGTCAACAATCTCCCCCTTTTTGATGATGGCAAAACATTAATGTGTTTATACATAAGGGAAATAAGCATTGACATATCTTAAATGCAAATTTAAAAAATTTAAGATTTCTCCCCCTATCATAGAGCATAGGATAAATATAGCTTTAATATGCATGAAAGAGATACTTTTGCAAAAATAATTCATGTTAATTTCATTTAAGCATTTGCAAAAATAAGTATCATGTTAACACATCATTCATTTCACTATTCTCCCCCTTTGACATCTCAAAAAGGTAAGGGGGGTCCACACAAGAAAGACAAGTATAAACATAAAGTAATCGAA